ATAAATCACGATAAAACAATGCAAATACGGCCGACGCCTCCAGGTCCAGCATTCGAAGCGCACAAATAGATATATTTTACGATCACCAACGCCAGCAGCTCTCGCGCGTACCGAAGCAGAATCCACCAGAGGCACAGCCCAGCATTTTCACTGCCAATGTGCCGATGTCATCACAATGGAATTGGAAAGCCGGCACGCGTGGTTATATTTGCGAGAACCGGATGCGCGACTGCGAGTGGAAAATTCAAATCATGTAAAGCATAGGAAAAAAAATCACACCGACGAATGTGCGAACCAATAAGCCGGATGACACCTGTGCAGACAAATGCACATCAAAACACTGTGTTGGTAATTACAAACCTCGCAGAGTACAAAAGTATGTATAGGTATTACTTATGTAAATATAAAAACCATCAATAACGTTTTTTAATAACGTGAATATTGTAACACACAGTAGCAGAGATTAGCCAGTATAATGAAATTTCCCTTCGGCCAAAAAACGATTTTTCTGGGCAAAATTTCGGTTGTTCTATTGTTCGCCATGCATATTTCCATATAAAGTGCAGTGCAGGGTGATAATAAAGAGCTTAAATTAATATTTGAAAAGTGTACTTTACACTTGAAAGGACCTCCCTGAATATAGGTATGTGTGCGGGAGCGCCGGTCCCGAACAAAACTAGCAAAAAATCGAACAATGCACGACACTCATTGTAAATAAAGCAAAAAAAGAGATTTATTTCATTTCTGTGGAAAAGACATCCACGCACTTTTTTTTTTCTCGTTGAATAATATTCGTCACTGTTCACTTATTCTAAAGCAAAAAGATCTTGTGATGCATTTCTATATTTACTTCGCTAGAGTGGTTTGAAATATAGTTTTTAAATATTAGAATTGTGAGTATTTTAGATACGAAACGTAAGTGACAGAAAGTGTGCTTGAAAGGTTGCAGCGTTTCATTAAAACTTTTAATAGCAAGTTCATGCGCCAGGAGGATACTTGTAATTTTTCCAATGTTTTAAAACTTTCAATATGTCACGTTATTTTTTATTTTCTTAAATTTAAAAGTTTTATTTCAAAAAAAACATTTTTTATGGTAAAAGCAGTAAGATTATGATTTTCGATTTGCAAACGCATACAATTTATTTATTGAAAACATGCAATTTTCCTCGCAAAGCATCGATAAGTATTCTCTGAGCGTATGCATATATTTAAACGTGTGTTGAAGCGTTTTACTTTAAAGAGATTTGCAGCGTTCAAGTAGCAATGATTTCGCTGGTACATATTTAAAACCGTAAAGCGCATTTCTCTCTCGTTCGAGCGCAATCTTTTTTCCTCATCGCCGGCTTCAGAAACGATTGTGTACTTGGCAATCTGCGTGGTTATCCTAAAGTGCATCTTTCTCTCTCTGTCAGCTCTCTCCGCCGCCGGATAGCGACAAGGATATATTTGAATAGGATAAGGATCCGTTATTGTTTGCCAATACAAAATAAAGTTTTCCGCGTTTACCATCCTTATAAATTATTTATGAATTTCGTCTTTCACGCAATAAGAACAAATTGATATAGCAAGCAGAGGCGTAACGCCGGCGGAAAGGGTCGTCTTTCCTGTCGAAATCTTCACGTCATCGAGAGTGCTTTTGGGCTTGTTTTTGTTCCACGCTCTGAGATCTTAAACGACAAAAGATGGGAACGCGTTTTGGGGTTTAGCTTTTGACGACACAAATTAATCGTTGTTTAATCTGCGTTTAATTGGTGCGTATTCATCAAAATTAGATTGAAATTTAAAAATACTACTAAAGTCTGAAACATATTTGAATGCTTTTATATTGATAAATATGTATCCGTCACAGTTGATAAATTTCGCAATATAAAATTTATGAATGTGTCCCATTTGTGCGTGTTCGGGTATTGGCAGCTGAGTCGTGCACATTTGTCGTCGTGGGCGATTTTTTTTGTGTTATTTTTGCTGAATGCGTACACGCAGAACGAGATGGATAGATAGACGTGGCAAAAAACGTTCACATTCAAAATACTCGAATAAATTTGAATGCTCAAGTCGACAAATGTGTGACGATCAAATAAATATCAATATCGAGGTTTTTCACGAATAAAATTTGAAATTTTACTGATGAATCAATGGTATTGCTTTTTGCTTTAAACAAAAACTGCATTATTCAAGCCGAGAATTCCAAATCTAGTCGAATGTTCTCGTTGTTCAGAGAATTCTATTCTTAGCGACAGGCGAAAGTTGAGAGAGCTTGTGTTACAGAAACAAAAGGCAAGCTTTCGGATCCGTTCTTTGTTTTTCGAAACACAAACTTATCTCGATTAAAAAGCGACCATTCGCTCTCACAGAGCGGAAGTCACAACTTCCTAAGAAAGCAATAAATTTCCCCTTGGAGTTACTGATTGATTTCACTGTTTCATACTCAGACGCGAATTCGATTTAATTATTAACATAAATTTTCGGCGGAAAAATTGCTTGGCGAATCTTAAATCCGACCATAAAACAGCCTGATTTAAGGTCACTTTCGATATGACCACGATCGCCTTCCTGCGTGGATACAAGTCCTGCATCCAGATGGCTGGAGCTCTATTCCGCCACACAATGGCCCTCCCCAAGAACTTTAAATTGATTTCGACCCACACATACAAACACAATGTGTGCTTTCAATTCGGGCCTACATCTACGTAGGTCAGCCTACAGAAATGCTGTGTTCAACATTTCGTGACGATTTCCTGCACACACCGTTTTCGGTATTTGGCAGCTTGGAAATCCAACCACTTGACCGTGATGCAACGACGTCGTCTCTTAAACTCAGATTGCAGATGCAATCGATTGTGATAAATCATCTATTTTGTGAAAATATATAAAATTAAAGAGGAAGATACACCACAAAATGAATATTTGTGTAAACACATGAAATGTTTTTGATGGATAGTTTCACTTCTGTCTGCACTTGAACACCAGTCATCCGCCACGTGCAGCAAATGCAAGTTTCCATCAATTCAAATCTTTCATTCCGCCAAAAGCAAACTATTCATCTATGCGGACGTGCCTATTAATCATTCGCGCATTAAGCACGTCTTTCGCGTCTGATTAACTTTTCTACGCGTTTTTTATTGAGGTATTTGTGCGCTGCACTATTTTTCCGTCCGTTTCTTCAAATTTCCACAAATCTCCCATTTATCTAGTTTTTCGGGCATCTAAACCGGGCACCAGTAACGAACATGCTTAATCTTATAATTTACGACTGTACGTGAATTGCCAAATTCGCACAAAAGTAAAAAACACGAATACAAACACTGCGTAAGTAAATGTTTGCCACTTACTAACTACAACTGCATTATTTTAATCTGGATGAAAGCAAAGATATGCACGAGTGCGCATATCTTCACTCACGCCCAAAACAGAATATTCTCATGTAGTGCATGTTTGCAAACAGCGCTTTTGATACCTGCGGAGAATGCTGCTGCTTGTCGCGAATTGTATGCGTGTATATCAATATGCGTGGACGGTAGAGACTGTTGCGAGTGATGCAGTAGGCGCGCACGAGCTTTTGCAGTAGTAATCTATTAATCTACGAGTTGTGCATTGCAAATGAAAACCGAAAGATAAATGCGCACGAGTGCAACCAACATGTAGAACAAATTGCTTGGTCGAACCAGGTACGCCGGCACGTTTCTCGTGTGAGCACACACGAGGAGAGCACCAAGCACTACGTGGAGTTCGCGCCGCGCATTGTTTGCGGGATGTGCATGTCGAAACAAATACGGTGAATGGAAACCAAAACCTAGGAATGAGACGCGTTAAAGAGAACAACAAATCCGGCGTCGAGGTAATAATCCCGCGCGCGTTTGAATATCCTAGGCATTAATTTGAAATATATCTATATATTTTGCTGGCCACGAAATAATGTACAAAGTACATCAAGGCGTTTCTGGTCTAACTTCTAGCCGGTCCATAACACAGAGCTTTGGTATTAGCCGCCTGCATGGTGCCATATTGCCAAATTGCTGCCATAAATGGGCATTAAGTACGATTTCCTTTATACGACTTTTCTGCTTCGAATCGCAGTTATACGCGAATATTTTTCCATATATGCTCAAGCGCAGCCAGTAACCAGAGCTTAATGTTGGATATACATGCGGCATGCATGTATCGATGTGGCACTTGAAACGACGTCGATAAAATGTCGAAATATGAGAATTGCCTCACATCTTAAAATCTTTATGACGACGCTTATATCGATATTTAAGTATAAAATGTTGCTGAAAGTAAAAATCAAGGTAAATTAAAGTATTTATATATTTTTTATTGAGAAATATAATAAAAGCTCCAACCCGTGACTAAAGCCCGTGGCTAAAGTACTTTAGTCACAGTCTTAGCTGTCCATGCATAAAATACAACTTTTCCTGTCTCAAAACCGTAGAAAAAGTGCTGTTTTAAAGACAAAAGTAGAAAAAGTGATTTTTTAGCATTTTTGATTAAAATTAGTATTAAATTATTATTAACCCAGTAAACTCGAAACATTTTAGAGAAACAAGAAGCTAATTACTTAGACTAAATCAATTTATTTATGTATTTACTATAAATTAATCCAAAGTGAACCAAAAAAACTATTTTCTCCCGAAGACCTATCCAAATGTTAAGTGTTTCCTTTCCTTGCGCCCATCCTTCCTCGAGAGGAAATTATATTGGTAGGATATGTTTACGATGGGTCCGGCCAACCTCACTGTAATTCGCTAGGACCAGACCTAACTTACTAGATAACGTGACACTTCTGAACAATATTTTAGTGAAAGTCCCCACTAACGATCGCAAAATATTGTCCGCCGTGATTTATAACACTCATTACACCCTTGTTGCATAATTTACCTGCACTGGTGTTGCCACTTAAAATTTTGTTTCTCGCACCGCGTTAATGGACATAAAATGCACATTCGAAAGTTTTTGCTGCATAATGGCTTTGCATTTGAGTAAACATTAAAGTTACATACCTCAAGCATCAGGACACGATGACGGATGCTGTCAGCGGCAAGTAGTTTCTCTCTGCTGGCTGAAACTAAAAATATATTTTATGAAAAGATGGAATCGGGTCACACACATGTAGAACGTGTTTCTGAAGGTGCTTATGACTTTTATATTTTCTCTATCATTTCATGAAGATGTAAATCCTTTTAGGACATGTGGTATGAATAAGATCTTGATGTTGTATGCACGAAATTCCGGTCTGAATGCTTTGAATATATGATAGAAAACTATATGCCGTGTTTACACCACAATTTAAAAGATTTACGAATGTGCACTTCATGCGAGAACATAAAAACACACTTATTTTACATTTTGTACGCTATAATGATGAAAATCTATCTTTTAAATAGTTTCGTTAGGAAAAATAAAAGAAAATCAAATAGGAAAAGTTTTTTGCAGTTGCTGCTTAAATAAGAACATAACAAACGAATTCAGTTGCTTTATCGGCGCGCAGGAGATGCAGCCGCCCGTGTAACCGAAAAGAGCATTCGCGTCTATTGCTTCATGGATTTCGAGATTTTTCAGCCGTTGCCACCGAGGTGACACGTTGTGACGCCGCGACGCAATGGTGTTGGGTGGGACATGCAATAAAGCACGACTTTTCCTGTTATCGCGACGATCAACTGGCTGGATGGGCTTCGAGCTACCACGTCTGGCTCGACGCCAGCCGGAAACGAAGAGTTCACGTTTGCTACTACTTCGACTGGCTTTCGACTGACTTACAATGTCGGCATGCAGAACGAACAGCCCGGTCACGCTGTGCACAAAACCCATCTACACTTCGCCTTCTATTCTTCGACGCTGATATATACTAAATGAACTGAATCAGAATTCAAATCAGAATAGTTTTTACTGCATTACTCTCACGCTTAATAATGAAAAAGTATAAATTTTCTTATTTTCTCTTAATATTATTAAATTTCGATTGATGAGGCATCAAATAATTTAAATTTAGTATATGCAGGTCGTTAGTGGCTAGCGTAGGTATAGCAAACGACGTGTGAATGCCATAAAGTGCGATTTCTGCGAACACACATCGTTAACTTTGCGCCTGATAGAAGCAAAAGCCATCATTGCAAACTACGATGTCTCGCCAGATACGAGCTGAAGCCACCTACACACCAGGGCTGATGTGTTGAATTACGACTTGTGCAACACTAGCGGAAGAGCGAAGTGATGGGCTCGTAACACGAATTCGCACACGAAACACGTAAATCTGAATGTTATAAACATCATAAATTGAAAATTATTTTCTTCCTTTTCTGTACTCGTACTTCTACCATCGCAAAGTTAAAATATTTTGGAGCCTCTAAACATCTTAGAACTCTTGGCCTTATCGTATCCTGGCTAATTTCGGTAGTTAACGCATTGCATTATTGCAATGCCCAGAGTTTGTTGTCGGAAGGAACTGAATCTGAGATGCCCATCTCCATTTTGCATAAGCACCCCTATCAGAGCGTTTGCGTTCTGGTATAGAAAGCATTATATTACTAATCCGCAAGCAACTTAGCGTACAACCGCAAGATGTAAATGCTAGATCAAATTTCACGCATGTTTATTTGGAAAATGTACGCGCACTGACGATACTTAATCCATTTAAAACCTTTTTGCATAATCCGGTTTTGCAAAGAGAGAATTTACGAAATGTATGGTAAACATTTCTACTTGCTATAGAGGAGTATGTTGTTCGTGCAGAAAAGGTTTCAAGTTCGACGGGGATACAAGTAACGTATATATTTTATCTGTGCTGCACATCAAACCTGCGAATTTTTCCGCCATTGTGACTCAGATCAAGTTTATTTAGGACCTTTTTTTTTGGCGCGTGTGCACACCGGACAAGTGTGATTTATCTTTCACTTGTTTTCATTGCACAAATAAAATATTGTTTCCGCGTTGAATCTCTTTTTCATCTTTCGGAGATTCATATACGCGTATTCGCGCACACGATATGATTTATATGATATACGTTCAACAATGTGTTCTATTGTCTTCTATTTTATACACACATATTGTTGGTGTAATGTGTACGACATTTTATTATAGTTACAAGTTTTGAAAAAATATTTCGTTATTGCTCAGGAACAGTTAAGGTGTGACTAAAACCCGTGACTAAAGTACTTTAGCCACGACTTTTGTTGTCTGTGGTTAAAGTATGACTTTTTGTGTTTAAAACCGGGGAAAACTGATATTTTAAAGGTGGAAATAGAAAAAATATTAAAACCCGTGACTAAAGTACTTTAGTCACGTCTTTGGTTGTCTGTGGTTAAATTACCAAACCGTAGATAAACTAGCGATTTAAAGGTGAAAAAAGAAAAAAAAATCATAAATAATGATTAATTTATTTTTAAAGAAATTTAAATTTTTGAATTTATTTTATTCTCATACAACACAACACTTACCACACTTTTGTGTATTTAAATGTTTTATAAATCTACCTATTGAATATTTCATGAATTTTATTCTGACTCTGACCAAAATATAGCAACATCAAAAAATCGATGTCACTCCAAGGTGATTTCCTTCGAATATATGAAAATATGTGTTGTATATATCGCCTGGGTTTTGTATAACGAGAATCTAAGGGTGGATATAAGGAAAAGGATAAAGAAAAGTGCAAAACGGGCTACTATTTTATGTAGCACATTGTCTTCGGAGTTATCTTTGGAGAGCCGTCGCCGCAAAAGCAGCAATCGCAATGGGGGTACTAAAACTAGCCAAAGTTGCCAATACTCTTACAAAAGTGCAGGAAGGATATGCATGCGCACGCAATGGAACAAGATCCAGAGGAAATGTGCGGATAAGTGTCATATATGTTATTCCAACTCGTTTTAAATCGGAATCCAAACATTTTCACGTTTTCAACGCGTAGATATTGTTAAAATAGTAAACATTTCGCACCAATATCTTCGTAAATGTATACTTATTGGTTTTGACGTAACGCCTTTATTTCTTGAGGATATTTTACCTTAAACGCGAGTGAATTCACGTGTTCAATTTGCCGAATTTTTCGACCGTGAGTGCTTCTCTAGCTAGGTGTGAAATTGAAAACAATATCTTTTACATTACCAGGTATACCTACTTATTCGAATTCGGTCGAAATATAAAAATACGAACGGAAATAGTATTTGCGTGAGCAATTCAATTACACCCTAAGGCACCCCTCGACACGTAAACATTTTCTCCAATTTAAAACCTGAATTAGCCCAGAAGCAAAAAAATTCAGTTAAACTATCATATTTCTTTAAACATTTACATTAAAAGCCTTTCACATTAAATTAAAACTTGACATTTGATACGGAACTGAAGAAAGTGATATCAGGAAAAAATTGTTACGAGCGTTGCGTGCAAATAAAGTACCTGCCTACCGATATAACTAAATTATTATATCGAAGCAAATGCAAATCTAACGTGCACGAAGTGAAAAGAAGAAAAAGTCGGATTGAAACAGTTTCATGTAATACTATAATAATATGAAAATGTGAGTACTTCAAATGCATAATTACGAGATTTATGGCCGTCATTATGACGCGCTATAATTCATTGAGCATAGTTATTACTCTATCCAAGCTTTCGTAAATGATTACAATGATTAAGAAGAATTTGCGTGCTTGTACAATATGTTCACAATCATAAAGCTTTCTTGTTCGCGTGAATTAACAAATGTTTCTTCTTTGCGGGAATTATTTTAGTGCTAATATATATTTACTTCTTGAATATTAGTTATGAGAAAGGAATTATTGTTTGTGAAGAATACAGAGAATGGTATTTAGCGAAAAAGTCTACCTGTGACTAAAGTACTTTAGTCACTAGTTCTAGTTTAGTTTCAGGCTATAAACAGAAAAACTTTTTTTTTGTTTTTCAAAGTTAAAAGTAGTCCATCCGTGATTAAAGCCCGTGACTAAAGTACTTTAGTCACTGCTCTGCCTGTTCGTGCTTAAAGTTCAACTTTTTTGTCTCAAAATCGTGGAAAACTAACGTTTTAAAGGTGAAATTAGAAAAAAGTAGTTAATTAGTTAACAAGCATTGAATATTCTGCTTTCGTTTCCAATATCCTAGATACCAGCAAGCAACTATTGCAAAGTGGCGATAAGTACAGCTAAAAAGCGTTTGCCTCGGTACTTATTCATTGTGTCAGAAAAGAGATGCCTTTTGTCTTATTGTTAATAGTCTGTACGGTGAGAGGCTTTTCTTGAGTTTACTGTATTCACGGTAGCTCTCCTTTTCATTTTAGTTACATGTTTCTTGCAACCACCGTTTATACCAAATGTTTTAAATAACAAACAAATAATTTAAACACTTAATATTTATCTAAATATTTCTATATACACTCAATATAATTATACCAAGATATATTTATGTTTATACTCGTATACTAAACGCTGTTTGTAATTATGGCACGTGAGTGATATATTTATGCCTCTAGCCTTTTGCAACCTGAGTTGTGAGGACACTGCCTGGCTAATTTGAAGGCACGTAAACTAAGAACAGGGCAATAAGGAGTGCGGAACAATGCGGCGTTTACTGCGCCGTTGGAATTATCTATCATTTGGAAAGGTATCTTTTGTGAACTTAAAGAGCGTTTGAAGGCGAGGGACTTCATGTTGCGAATAGTAAATGGCCAACGAAACGGCGTGTTTAAAGTTATTATTCTTCAAGTGCCTCGAGTTTCAACAATGGACTAATTAACACTTTTGGGGCGAAAGGAGATAAGAATTCACTTACTGTTGCGATATATTTAAGTCATAGAGTCGCGTCGTCATTAAAGCATAAATGGCGGTTAATTAGAGTACTTATTTAATTTTAACCTATTAATGATAATTGGTGCTTACGTTTGACATGAAAATGTTAAGAGAATATTCATTTCGCAATAAAATATTCAAAGTCTAATTGACATTGAAGAAAAACTAATGAGTATTGAAAAGAATTATCTCTACTAATATTATAAATGCAAAAGTCCTGATGTTTGTTACACTTTCACGCAAAAACTACTTAACCGATCATCATGAAAATTTCTACACATATTCTTAGTGG